GGTTGGGAGGATGGGGGTGCGTGGCGGCGCATGAATTGGAACACCCGTGGCGTGTGATGGCGGCGAGGGCGGCCGGCGGCCGCAGCAAGGCCCACGAGCTGCGTCGTCGCAATTCGTGAAAGGGAGGCCGACACAACATCTCGCGGCTGCGGGGCGGTGGCGGGAAACGGCGAGACCGGGCGTCGCCAGACCTTGCCTGCGTGCGCCACGCGTGAGTTTCGACCCACTCCCATGGGCACTGTTGTGGCTGTCTATCTGTCTTCATGCGCAGGCTGGACTCGATCGACTGGTCGGCTTCGGAGTGCCGCCGGATCTCTGGGTCCGTGCTGGAGACGACGAGCCGCGACCGGCGCATGTTGGTTCTGAAGCAGCCTGTGGGGGTGGTGGCGGCCATCACGCCCTGGAACTTTCCCATGAGCATGATCACGCGCAAGGTGTGGTCTCATCTTTTTCAATGTTTATGCCTTATGCCTGCACTGACCATTCGTATCTGGTTTTATGCCTCCACACTTGATTTGAGCAAAGTTTGGGGTGCAATATGAGCCTAGTGGGTGGTGAGGGTTTCGGGTGCAGGAGCACGGCAACAGGTGCTTCAAATGTTGTGTCTGCACGCAGCGGCGATAATGAGCCCCGCGCACTCGCACACTTGTGCACCGATTGTGGCGCCTTGTTTTCGCACCCATCCTCACCCTTGCCCTTCGGGCAGGTGGCCCCCGCCCTGGCCGCGGGCTGCACCGTGGTGCTGAAGCCGTCAGAGCAGACGCCCCTCACAGCCCTGGCGCTCGCTGAGCTGGCGGAGCGCGCGGGGCTGCCCGACGGCGCTCTCAACATTGTGATGGGGGACGCCGCAGCCATAGGTGGGGGGGGGGGGCTCGCGCCTTGCTGGGCTTGCGGTCAGCGCTGGGAGCCCTGGGGGCCTTGGTGTGTGCGTGCTGGTGCGTGCAGGGCTTCGGAGCAGTTCTCTTTGGACGGCGGTGCCCACGGCGTCGCGGATTGGGATGGGCGGTGCAATGCAGCTGGCTGAGCGAGTTGGGCGCGGCCACCCTTCTGGCGGTGATGGCGCGTTGTTCGGCGGCGGCAGGGCGCCACGTAATGGAGCCCCTTTCGCCAAACAAAGGTCTTGGCGCCATGCGCGCGACCGGCCCCAGCCGCCCCCACCAGCCTGCTGCTGGCTGGGCCTACCATTTGCGCGCCTCCCCTCCTCCTCGACGCCCCTGCCACGCCTGACGCGCCACTCCCACCACGGCTACTCCCTCGCCGCCGCACCCCGCCCTGAGGCAAGCTGAACGCCAAAAAAAGCCCCTAACCGCCCCTGGCGCCTCCCAACTTCCCCCTTGCCCCCTCCCCTCGACCCAAAGGCCAGACCATGATGGCCAGCGAGGAGGTCAGGAAGATCGGGTTCACCGGGTCCACCGCCGTGGGCAAGACGCTCATGGCGCAGGCCGCAAACGTGAGGCGCGGCCGCGGCGCGGCACAACTCTGTCAGACCCGGCCTGAGCTCGCCACGGGGCGCGGCAGCCGTATGTTGCACCGCCACGCGGGGCCTCGGGGCCAAAATGGGGCTGCCAGGGTGGCTGGCACTGGGTTTGACTAGTTTGACGTTGCGGCAGCATCAGCATCTTGAGCTGCTTGCTTCGGCTGGGAACGCATCGTGCCAAGTAGCAACGCCAATCGACCCACCAACCAGTTGACCAGGCAGCCGCTGCACCCGCAAGCCTCAAAGAATCGTCTGCGCCCGCCGCCGGACTGCCTGCTCCGCCGCAGACCGTGAAGCGCGTGTCCCTGGAGCTGGGTGGCAACGCGCCCTTCCTGGTGATGGAGGACGCTGACCTGGCGCTGGCGGCCAAGGGGGTGGTTGCCAGCGCGCTGCGCAACAGCGGGCAGACCTGCATCTGCGCCAACAGGGTGCTGGTGCACGACAAGGTGCGGCGCGCGGGTTTCGGGGGGAACCGCGAGAGTGTGTGTGTGTGTGTATGTGTGTGTGTGTGTGTATGTGTGTGTGTGTGTTGTTAGCGGGTGCATGTGACTGCCGGGGTTCAAGGTTTAGGGTTTTGGGTTTAGGGTTTAGCGACAGGGTTAGGGTTTGCGTTTTACGCCAAAGAGCAGCCGCTCTATGGGCTATGCCGTGTCGCTGGCCCCTTGCGCGCCACTGGCGTCGCGCAACAGCCTGGCGGTGCGTCGCCGCTCTTTGTTTCTTGCAGTGCACCGGAAAGCACCTAACGTTGCGCACACCTGGCGGCTCAACATGCACCGACACTTGAAACAGACACCACAAACACGACCACAAGCGCTCAGACACCTCCCAATCAACACCACCTCCACCCACCTCCCCCCATCCACCCCAGGTGTATGACGCGTTCTCGCAGCGCGTGGCTGACATTGTGGCGGGCCTCAAGGTTGGGGACGGCTTCGCGCCAGACACCACGCACGGGCCGCTCATCAACAAAGCAGGCAAGCGAGACCAAAGCTCACACCTCGCCCGCGCACGCCCCCTAGGGTGAGAGGTTGGTTGCGACAGCCATCCTCTCACCCTGCAGCGCCGCCGCTCTGCCTCTTGACAGCCACTTGTCTCGCGGCGAATCGTATTGGCTTGCCAGCTCGCGGAGGGATGACGGCATGCAGCGGCTGTCGCGGCAGGGGCGGCGCGCTGTGTACTGCAATCAGTCCCAAGCTGCTTGCTTGGCGCTAGCAGCAGCAATCTCCCGTTTCAACACCCCAATGCGCCATCAAGCGCAATGTCCCGCGACATCCTTCCCTCATTCCGCCACCCGCAGCTGTGGAGAAGGTGGTGACGCATTGCAGTGACGCGGTGTCGAAGGGCGCGCGCGTGCTGGCAGGCGGCGGCCCGCCAGAGGGCCTGCCGGAGCGGCTGGCGGGCGGCAACTTCTTCTCACCCACGGTGCTGGCCGACGCGACCATCGACATGTGAGGGGGGCCGGGGCCGGCGCGGATGATGTCAGGGTGACGTCACCTTGAACAGCGGCAACGGAGCGTCGCGGCTGGTGCCAGCCGTACAATTGCTTGTACTGGGGTGCCTGCGGCCAGGGAGTGGTGGGGTGCCTGTCCGCGTGGTGTGACTTGTTTCGGATTTTGGCCCTCACCCGCAAGGCCCCTCTTCTGGTTTGCTGCTGCTGGTGTCACCGACTCCCAAAACCTCGTACCTTGTGTGACGCGCCGCCCCCTCAGGCGCCTGTTCCGTGAGGAGACGTTTGGCCCCCTGGTGCCGCTGTTCCGCTTCAAGAGCGATGACGAGGCGGTGGCCCTGGCCAACGACACCGAGTACGGTGAGGGGCGCGCGGGGGAGG